TATCCAAACGCTATTTATCTGTGTTCATGGTGGTGGTGGGGTGCATGTGAAAGCTTGGTTAATGTGTGTGTGGCTAATACTAACTGTCAGCTCAACAGGACTAGAGTCAAGTAAGAAACAAATGTCTGGGCATGTCTGTAAGGGAGAACGGAGGTAAGAAGATTTAGTGTAAGCAGGAGTGACACCGTGATTCCATGGGCTTAGGTTCTGAACTGAATAAAAAGGTAAAAGCAAACTCCATTTTTCAGCAACTGACACATTTCTTTCTTTTTTTATGGCTAATTGAAACTTTTTAAAAAAAAGATTTATTTTATGTACTTGAGTGCTCTATCTGCATATACAACTTTTAAAAAAAAAATAAAAAAACTAACTTTATTTTATGCGCATTGGTATAATGATGTCAGATTTTCTGCAACTGGAGTTACAGACAGCTGCGAGCTGCCGTGTGGGTGCTGATAATTGAACCCAGGTCCTCTGGAGGAGCAGTCAGTGCTCTTAACCACTGTGCCATCTCACTAGCCCTGCATGTACAACTTTTATACCAGAAGAGGGCATCAGATTCCATTGTAGATGTCAGTCACCATGTGGTTGCTGGGAACTCATGACCTCTGGAAGAGCAGCCAGTGCTCTTAACCATCTCTGCAGCCCCTGCTGATTGAACTCTTTACACGTGTAATCTTAATTCTTCATAGTTTTATCTTAAAACGTTATCATAAATTTATTGTTTATTTATTTATTTATTTATTTATTTTTAGTTTTTCGAAACAGGGTTTCGCTGTAGTTTTAGAGCCTATCCTGGAACTAGCTCTTGTAGACCTGGCTGGCCTCGAATTTAAAGAGATTAGGATTAAAGGCGTGTGCCACCACCACTCGGCTATCATAAATTTAAAATCTACTAATTTGATTTACTTGTGAGCTTCTTGAGTAAGTTTTTTTTTTCTTTTTCTTTCTTCTTCTCCACCCCCTACCCCCAGGCAGGGTTTCTCTGTGTAACAGCTCTGACTCACTCTGTAGACCAGGCTGGCCTTGAACTCACAGAGATCTAGCTGCCTTTGCTTTCCCAGTGTTGGGATTAAAGGCGTGCATCACCACTACTCAACAAGAGTAAATTTTTTTAATCTTCCATGTATTTATTGTACTTTATAATGTTATAGACCTTATGTTCTGTTAATTCTTTGTGTTCGTATGTGGACTGTGAGCTTAAAGCAGGAAACTTAATTGACCTTGTATTCTTAATACTTAGGTTTAGTTTTTTGGGTGTATATAGAGATCTTGTCTTTGTGTGCCCTTTAGTTTTAATATTAATTTGTGGGGGGGGGTACGACCTATGGCCTTGTGTATGCTAGGCAGATGTGTTATCACTGAGGCAGGGTTTTACTTTTCTTTCTTTTTCTTTTTTCTTTTATTTGTTTTGTTTGTTTTTTATGTAACAGCCCTGACTGTACAGGAACTCACTCTGTAGATCAGGCTGGCCTTGAATACAAGGGATTTTCTGCCTCCAGAGTGCTGGGATTAAAGGCGTTCACCACCACCTGACTTGAGGCAGGGTCCTTCTAAGTCACTCTGAAACCCAGGTAGGTCTTGAGTTTGAAATTCTTCTCCTTAGCCTCTCAGGTAGCTAGCTGCACAACCAGACTAAAGTCTGTTTTCATATTTATTAACAAGCTATTACCTGAGTTTAAAATCTGTTTCAGTTGTTTCAGATGTCATGGTTAAGAAAAAGGTTTTTCTAGTGCCAGAAAGGTAGCTCAGCTGATAAAGGTACTTGCCATCAAGCCTTCCAACCCAAGTTTCATCTCTGGGGCCCGGAAGATTGAGAGAGAACTGACTGCCGCAGTTGTCTTCTGACCTCCACATGAGTGTCTAGCATACTCATACGCACCCCTATAATAAATAAGTAAATAAATAAATATATTTTTTTAAAAGTTTTGGAATCAAATTGTGCCATCATTGTCTAGCTGTATGATTTTGAACTAAGTATCTCGGCAATTCTCTACTTCTGTATCTGAAAAACAAAGGAAGTGCTAATACTTAATGATTGTGAGAATCAATGCATGAAAATGCATAAAACGGAATAATGCTTGCGTATTCTGTTTATTTTACTAACTATTTTATCTCTTAATTTGTTCACTGGCAAGTATTGTCTCACTGTTTATTAGGCATTGCATCAGGTACCAGGACGGTGTGTATTCCCTGTTGTCCTCAGCTAGTCCTGGCATTTACTGGGCACACAGACGCCATCTGAGCAGTTACTCTAGTGGTGGTGAACAATTACTGTTGTCATTAAGTCAAAGTTGCTCCAAACACATACATTTTTATTGTGTTAACTTCATTAAATAGTTTTATTAATTGTGTAAGTATAAAAGAAAGATAGTACACTGCTATAGAGTATGAGAAATGAGCTCATTAACTTACCACCTAAAGTGATAGAAATGTATTGACAAATCCTAGAAAATTTGCCACTGGCCATGTTTTGATTGCTCAGTAAAGAATCAACAGTTTATTCAATTCTGCATTTGCTTTTCTTTTTTAAAACAGGATAATTCAGGCTAAGTGGTGATGCAAGCCTGTAACTCTGGCATTCTGGAAGCAGAAGTTCAGGGCTAATTTAGACAACTCATTGAGACTACCTCAAGTTGAAAAGTGAAATAAAAGGCCGGAGAGGATTTATCTTAGTGATAAAGTACTTGACTAGCATGTATAGGATAATAGGATAGTTGGTTCAGTCCCCAGTACTGCTAAACAAACACACAAACAAAAAATATTGGGTGAATCTGGGCAGAGGTGGCATATACTGTTGAATCCCAGCACTCAGAAGGCAGAGGCAGATGGATCTCTATGAGTTCGAGGCCAGCCTGGCCAGGTGATTTTGATAGCAAGGACAAAGTGTTCTAGTATAATATAGATATTTTAGAGGAGCATTCTGGTAGTATCTTTTGTTTTTATATGATTGAAATGTCTTTGATGTAATGTAAATGTTACAAGAAGCTGGGCACAGTAGTCCATACCTGTAATCTCACAATTTGGAGACCGAGGCAGGATTGATACCTTGTCTTTAAAATGTGATAGGCGACAAATCTTTTTCATGTTTATTTTGTTCTTTTACAGTGTTAGGGATAGAATCACAAGCTTCATGCATACTAGCAAGTGCCATGCTCACTTTGGTGTATTTCCAGCTGTGGAAATGGGGTCTTTGAAGTATTGACAACAAACTGATTAATTAAAGCCTTGTACTTTTTCTGTGACTGAGGGTGAGGAAATGGTTATTTGATTGTCAATGTGTTAACCCACACTGATAGCCCAAATTGAAAACAAACAAACAAATAAATTACGGGCCTGTAATCCCAGCACTCAAGAATCTGAGGCAGGAGAATGAAGATTTTAAGGCCATCCTGGCCCAACAAAACCTTGTTTCCCCAAACCAAACAAAGTTGTTAAATTTTTAGCCAAAGTGGAGCCTGACTGCATTTTTATTTTAAGTGGACAAATTACTTTGGAAACTTGTTTCCATCTTTTCCTTCAGTCCACTTTCTAGCGTCCTGCGTCACTGCTGTTTTATTTTTACGAGCTAGCTTCAAAGATTATCTACCCTCATTGTCTCATTTTTCATTTACCCTCTGTAAATTGGTTTCTGTCCTTTCCAATCCCTAATGAATGCCTAATTGTTTTCATGGCAATTTGCCTTGTGTCTGTGTGTGTGCACGCATGCGTGTGTGCATGCCCACCGTGCGCACCGTGGAGAATCCAGCAGAAGGGACTGCACGTCCTCCTCTGTTGCTCTTTGGTGCCTCCTCCCCTTCAGGCAGGATCTCCCACTGACTCTGAAAGTCAGTTTCCCGGCCAGAAAGTGTGAGCAGTCATTCTGTCTCTGCCTCCTCGTGCGTGCACAACAAGCACTCTTCCCACTGAGTTGACTCCTGAACTAATGGGTCAGCTTCTCCATGAAATTTGTCATTTCCGTGATAACTTGCTCTCAGAATTTTCTTCCTGCCAGGGCATTCTGTATTTTCTTTTTTGAAGAACTCTTTATTTTTGTCATGCTGATTTATATTTTAGGTTGTAGATTCATATTTTAAAGTTCCTTTTTTCTTTCACAGGACTTTTTAATTTTTGTCTTCTGAGATAGTCTGACCATTTAGTCCAGACTGGCCTTGAATTCATGTAGTGAAGGCTGGCCTTAAACTTTCCTGCCTCTGACATCTCAGTCTCCAGCTCATATATAGAATTTTTCAAAGTTATATCTTTCCCTTACAGTTTGTGGCATTTAGTAATCTTTTAAGTTTTCAGGTGGTTGTGATCATAGACCTAAACTTATGGTTCAGATTTTTAGCCGTGGAGCACACAATTCTTGATCTGGTCCCTGCCTGTCTCTCCAGCACCATCTCTGTCTGTCCTCCCCTATTATTTTCTGTGTTAAGCCAAATGTCTTTTCTGTAATTTCCTGGGCTTGGGGTTTTTTTTGGGGGGGGAGACAGTATAATAGTTGTAGGAATGAGGAGATAATCCCAGATTTCTGTTTTTCTCATTCCTTCTATATATCCCAGCTAGTCTTGAATTTCATGTGTTCAAAAGCACAAGGCTGATCCAAATCAGTGAGACCAAGAACAGTCATGTAACTTGCTGCAGTGATGTAAATAGTATATGTCAGAATATGTGTACAATTCAGTGTTTGTATGTCTAACATAGTTCTTACTGTATCTGCTCAGCTTAATCTTAAGTCACTTTTTAAATATTTTCTTCTAAGTCACCTTTAGTTACTCTCTTACGTGTTTCTTTTACTCATTTAGCATTTATTTGAATATGCAAGGAGTAGAGCAGGACCTAGCAATGGGTGGATAAAAATAAAAAAATATAAATGTCCTGTTCCTTATGGTCTCAAGTTGCATTTCGTATAGTTTGTATTATCATAAAGTATTATACAGAAATCCAATTTGTTAACTTTTTAAAAGAGAAACCATAGTACATCTTTTCCCACTGTTTTTTTTTCTCTTTTCATCCAGGGAAAGACCATGTTTGTAGATTTATTGGCTGTGGGAGAAATGATCGTTTCAACTATGTGGTCATGCAATTGCAGGTATGTTACTTTGAAAAGTGTGTCTTAAAATCTTTTAGTTTTAGCCAGGCAGTGGAGATGCACACCTTTAATCCCAGCACTCAGAAGGCAGAGGCAGGCAGATCTCTGAGTTTGAGGCCAGCCCACAGAGTGTGTTTTAGAAAAGACTGTTAAACAGAGAAACCTTGTCTCAAAAACAAAAATCTTTTAGTTTTGATCAAAATACCCAATTACAGTGAATCTACATAAAAAATGACAGCATTCTTGTTATTATGTTCAATGGCTATACACTGTATACATGGAGATTTGTTTAGACTTGGTATAGATTTTCCAAAAAAATGAAATGGTCATCTATTAGTTTTCCTGTACCTTTGTTGGTTATCATTTTTTCTCATAGCATTTAATCTTACAATAGACTGTATAACATAATGTAATCCTTGCCTTTCCACATTCCTTTCCCTTTTCATGTTTGCTCCCTCAGGCCTTTCAAATCTCTGCTCGTGCTCTCAAGAACCAGCCACTACAGCCACTACATTTAGACTGTAACCATTAGTTGGAGTAAAAGATGCATGCTTGTCCTCTTCCTTTTCTGTCAGCCTACTGTTCCTTCTCTTCTAGATGGGAGTAGAGTTGGGCTGACCAGGTAGTGGTTGATAAAGAAAATGCAAGAGTAACTGTTGCAGAAGGGAAAGTCAGGACACCATCTCCTTCCTGGATGAACACCGCAGCACAGTCACCTTGAAGCTGAAAACCATGGCTCACCGCCTGATTTTCTCTTCTCAACAGTTTCCTTTCATCTGTAGCAGACTTTATCTTGGACATTTGGTTTCTTTATTTTTTTGTATATTACTGACCTAAATGTTTTCTTCTTTTCAGAAGGCTTTTCTTTTTCTCAAGTATCCTTCAGTGTTTGACTCTGACCTAAAGATGTAACCTTTTCTGTAAACCGTAGCTGCGGTCTCACTGAGGACCACAGGATGATTATAGCTGTGGCCGGGCGTTTGTGGCGCACGCCTTCAATCCCAGCACTCAGGAGGCAGAGGCAGGCGAATCGAGGCCCCAGGCTGGTCTTCAAGAGCGAGTTCCAGGACAGGCTCCAAAGCTACAGAGAAACCCTCTCGAAATCCCCCTCCCCAAAAGAAAAGATTATAGCAGTATGCTACCATGGTAGGCTTAGTCTTTAAAATTAATAAATTGGGAGTTGGAGGTGTGTGCCATGGTGTGTGTGTGTGTGTGTGTGTGTGTGTGTGTGTGTGTGTGTGTGTG